CACTGCTGATACAGCACCACCACAGTGCACAGCTGATACAGCACCACCACAGTGCACAGCTGATACAGCACCATCACTGCTCATAGCTGATACAGCATCACCACTGCACACTGCTGATACAGAAACACCACTTTGTTTCCATGAAACTGAAAAAAAAACATTGATAAAAGCAGAAACACATAATTTCCATCAGGTGAAGAGTGAATATGGAGTCTAAGTATTTCTTAGTCCTCTCAGACATGGGTTCAGATTCAGGCTCATGTCCTATGTGATTTGAACATGCACTTTGTTTCCGTGAAACTACAAGAGACAGATCCGATCATAAGGTCATAAACAACAGTGCTGATGAGAATAAGCAGACACTCGGGCTGTGGGCCATGTTCTTGTTCAGATGAGCACTTCATATAGGTTAAAACGTCACCTGTAAAGAGAGCATCTCTCTCTGGTGTCACTCAGGATTTACACTGACAGCTTTCTAAACACACCCTTAGAAGTAACCATCAGTCCAGTTTTCCTTTAATAAAAAGAACATGACATTTTTGCCCCAAAATGTAGATTTTAAAAAAGGACCAATTCTTTAAACAGCTTATGTACTCAATCATATCCTTTGTATTTTACCACAAGGGGGCAGAAATTGTGTTGGTCAGAAAGGTTTTTTACAATGTGAAAATTGTAAACTGTAAAAAGTAAGCTGAAAGTAATTATATTGTTCATTTTAAACATATATTTACATTTGATATTAAGGACAATTCAAGTTTTGTTCAGAGATCCAAGCTGTTGCAGAAAAGTTACATTTCAAAGTATACAGATGTTCTATTGTTTTTTTGATGATACTGCTAGAGTTTTGTTTTAAAAAACTGCATGTAGTTACCAAAAAAGCTTTGTGCCTGTTCTGTGTCTTTCTCCTAGCTTATATTTAAGACAACAGTTTGGTTTTCTTTCTGTAATGTCAATATTTATTTTTATTTTTTCCAGACCTAATAACTCAGCGAAGAACGCTAAATGTTGAGGAAACCCCTTAAGGGAGTCGTTAATTGTGGCTGTCAAGTGTTATTGGAGTTGTGAAATTATCATTGCTTTTCCATTGTCGACAATAGAACCGGCTCGCCCATTAGTAAAAGCTACCTACTTTCATTGCAGTATGTCAAAAGGATCGAATGGTCTTTTTCACATTCAAACTAAAACCTCTTCCAAGTTCACTCTTCTGTACCATTACAGTTCCTTAGACTGTGTTAGCATGTGATCACAGCTAACAAGGATGTTGTTTTCTTCTAAAAAGAAAATTTGTAAAAGACTTTCAGAAACACACACAATCCGTATAGTCTGTATTGCTATGTTCAGATCATTTACTTGTATAGTATTAAAAAAACTGCATTCTGAGACAAAATAGAAAATGGACTATCCTCAAGAACATTGTCTGTAAAACTCTTTCACTGCATTATACATTCATTTGTAAAACAGAATGAAGTAAATTGTAGGATCAGTATAGAAAGCATTGTGCACAAAATTCAGATAACCATTTCAATATTATGATTGTTGTTGATTCCTTAGAATATAGGAGCTTCTGTTCTATGTAAACAGCAGTTCTCTTGCTTTTATAAGGAAAAGTTAAATCTGAATTTTCTGTACATCTGTGGAAGGTTGTTTTTTTTTTCAACTTTAAGAAATGTACCATTTTTGAGACAAACTCTTGGGTCTACTTAAAGCGATCTCATATTTGTTTCAGGTCCATTATTCATTGTCTGCTGTTTTTAGGCACACAGGCTGTCTGAAAATTAGTTTTCTCCATTATTTCATTATTTTTTCTTTATACCCTACACTTGGAGAACAAGCTCACAGTGGGCATCTGGACAACAAGCAGAAATTCTGCATTTCCCTCAACACATTTACAGCATTTCCGTATCCAGAAGCATTCCATTAACATTTTCTAAGTTACTTTTGCTTTGCTATTTTTGTCAATAGAAAGGATATATTCTATTTATTTTTTGATGCTATTAAGATGTGGGGAGAAGCTATCTCACTCTTTACGATTTTTTTGTTTTAATCTTTGTTATGCTTGTAATTGGAGATTGTTTTACATATTCAAGGTTTGTAGTTAAGTGTAAAAATGGTTTTTGCTGTTTATGGAAAAGAATTTTACAGAATAAAATAATTGGAATGCAAAGTGCGTTATGATATCCATGTTTTACACAGCAATAGTATCATTTCCCACCTCTGACTTTATCTCATCAAGCATCTGTAAATACTAATTGTTAGGACCTGCAGTTTATTGTAAGTGCATTACTCACATGCTACCTTATTTCCTCAAGATGTTTTCCTTTTTAAACTATGAATGAAATCTGAACTTCCTTGTGTTTTTCGTAAAAAGACGTTACTCACCAATACGTACTGTAGCCTGCCTACAAAAGGAATCTCACTACTCTGGCCTCTGAAAGCTTCTGGAGAAATGCAGAAATTTACGTTGAAATCTGCCAAAAGCTGATTCACACTGGCGTCACTTAATTTTGCATTATAATTTCAAAAAGACATTGTTTAAAAGGTAAATTTGAATTTTCTGTACATCAGATTTAAAAAAAATTGATTTACTTGCTATGTTGATCCATAGTTACTAGATTGTCGTTCTTTATGAACAAGAAATTACAATGTCTTATACTTTGAGTCCATATATTTTCAAAAACAGTTTATATTTAGAACAGATAGAGAGGGATCAAATAATAACATTGATTTTATTTACATTTGTCAAGGTATCGCTTCTGCATTCTTTATAAGGTCTTTTTAAGGTTTCTAACCTAACCATAGTTGTGCACAGCTTAGCATGTACAGGCTGAATACCAGAGTGGCTAGACAAAGCAACCTAATTTTTTAATAATGTGGAGTGACAACACTTACAGTATACCACTGTTCCCAGTGCACTAACCAAACTAATTATTTTCTTAAGGAATACTTGAAAATCTTCATGAAAATATAATATTTTCAATAAACTCACAAACACCAAATAAAATTAAGAATTAAACAATAAAAAAATTTAGTTACAGCAACACAAAAATACTTTCTTTGAGTAAAAATAATTCCAAAGTGATAGACTTTATTCACAATGTTTCCTTTTGGGTCAAAGGAATGTTTCAGATATGGATTTTATTTTGTTGCTTCAGGCTTTTTCTGTGCAGTCTTGAAATACTGACCACCTCCAACAATGCATCAGCCTGTACTGAACTATCTTCCTTCATTCAGTCTTTTTATCTTCTTTACGTCTGAGGAAGAACTCTGGCCTGCTGACACAGCGGTAACAGAAGAGCTGAGGTACTACTCCGTACAGGATGTTGATTATAAGAAAGAGGTTCTTCGCTTCTTCTGGGACTCTGTAGGTAAAGGGAGTTCTGGTATGGAGGGAGGCACCGATGTGAGAAAACTGAGCCTGAGAGAGGAACCAAAAATTAAAACCATGTAACATTGTTGATGAATCAGCTGCCAGATGAAGAGCCCTTATCTGACTGGTGTAGCTTTTTAAAACCTGGTGTATCAGGTATAGACAACAATTCCGAATGACTGCACTATTGCCTTTGATTTGGGGCAGTTCTGTGTACATCACTGTTGCTGACTGCTTCCCTTAGCCTCACTTAGAGCCCAAATACTGCATTTCTTTAACCGAGGTCAGAAAGATCTTTTCAGAAATACCACCGCAAACCCTCCTGTAAAAAGCATATGGCACTGCAGAGTGGCTGATATCAGTTTAGAGCTTTAGGAGCAAAGTTAAGACTGTGCTGGGATTAATGATGGCACAAAAACCTTTTGACACAGCTGAAGTTTAGTTCACATCACAGCTGGGAATCTGGCCTTTGTTGCTGTTATCAAGTTTCCTAGTGGAGTGAGAATTTTGAAGCTGCTGTACTGCTTTCAGCCTGCAAGGGGCTGCACTGAGCAGTGCAATTATTTATAACTCACGCAGCTGCCATTTAAAGATCACATCATTCCTGTACAAGCAGAGGGGTGCCTGGCTTTTGTCTCCCATGTTTTTTTTTCTCTGAAAGATTACTGAGAAAGAAACATTTAAAAAAATGTAGAATGGTTTCTATGCATAAAGCAAAATCTCATTTTCAAAGCCTGTCTTAAGTAGATCTTTCAAGATACCCATTTCAGAAACTGAAACGTTAATTTATAAATAATCCTCTTCTGTGCCAAGAAATACTAATATCTGCAATGCATTCAGGGCAAAGAGTGCACAATATACAATAAGCAATTTATTGCTCAACCTGATTTTTGAAAATAGTAACATTAGCCATGACTTTTGACTGTATATACTATTATCTAAAATGCAGAGTGATGTAATCAATATTTTAAAACCTAGTTAAGCTCTCATATGCACCCCAAAAAAGATAGATGGACACAAAGCTAAATTACTTTTTAAAAGGACAATTTTATAGCTGGAGCAAAGAAGATTAAATATGAGTTGCAGATAGTTTTCCAATTGTCAATATAAGATCTTTGAAGGTGCCCTAGCAGCTCTAGAGCGGAGCCATAAAAATCAGGATTCAGTTAATTACAGCACTCTTCCACTGTGCAGGTCCTGAGAGATAATAAGCTGCAAATCAGATACAGGCCTCCTTGAATGGCTGTCACGTCCCACAATCAGTGGTTAAAAATAGCGACATCCAGAACATTTGTTTTAAAAAAAGCCCTTCACAGCTTGCTGCCAACTGCCACAGAATAATGATGCATTCGTTTTCTCCCGAGCTTGTTGTCCAAACCACCCTGCTTGTATCGTATCCCACAGGAGCCTACTGTTCAGGTTTCTATCTGTGATGATTAAGCTGCCTTCCCTCCTGTGGAAGACACAAAACCAGTCCTCGTGCCATTCAGCTAATCTGTTACTTTTGCTGTTGAAAACTCTTCTGTTGTGCTTTTTTTTGGGGGGGGGGGTTGGTGTTTATCTGGAAAGAAAGCTACCTTTTTCCTCGCTCCTTCCCAAGAATGTTTCTCTTGCAAAATACATATCCACAGACACACGAGAGTGCTGCTCCCCTCACCTGCGCAACAGCTCCAGCATGCACCAGAGCGAGGTCCGGTATCCAGCTGCACCCAGGAACCAGCAGGCCGTAGATGGTGACAGTGTAGCACGGCACTGAGTAAAACAGGTTCACCAGCATCTGTCAGGGGATGAGAACAGCTGTTTGTTGTTTATGTGAGCTTCTGGGGGCACAGAAATGACCAGTTGTTTTCTCTCAGTTTGTTTTAATTATGCAGAATTAGTCTTTGCTTGTTAAATGAAAATTTTGACAAAGTCTGGTTGGAAAACGTTATACAGTAGCTATCTCATGTAACAATAAAAGGTTTTCTGGGGGTATGTTTACCAAGGACAACTTTAAATGTGCAATTCCCAGGAAGACTTGTTGAAAATCCCTATGAATACGGTAAGTGGGTAGAAGCTCTGTCAGTACAGCTTTAGCTGCACCACTACTCATTGCTTGACAATGGTTTACACTTTTCCGATTTCTGTTTGGAATGTACAAGAGGAACAGGTCTTTTCTTCTCACCTGGATTTTGGGATAGGCTGCTGGATCCTTGAGGTAAGGCTCGCGGTGCTGGAGGTACACTTGACAAGGTGTTGAAGGGCAATCCAGAACTACCTGCGAAGAGCTGCTGTTAGCTGGCTTCGCACAGTGAACCTCCTTCAGTGGAAACCTGAGCAGGCACAAAACTCAGGCTTCCAAAATTTCAAAGTAATGCAGCACTCTTACCTGCCTATCTCTATGATATTGGTCAATCTGTAATTTACTCATTTGTAAATATATTTTGTTTCTATTTCTAAAAAGAATTATTTCCTCCATCTGACAGAAAGAGTGCAGGGGAAGTCAGCAGCACTCTCTGCTTTGCCTTTTTCTAGCATTAAGTACATCACTGGAGTACTTCCTCAGTGATTACCTGTTACTTATTTTCTGACACTGGCCATCCTAGACTTGCAAATAACACATGGTAAATAAGACTCTTATTTAACAGTAATGGAAACACTGCGCCTCTTATGACACAAAAGATAGACTCTGCCCTTGTAATGATCTTCAGAGCCGAGCTGCTAGAGGAGCTGTTATTGGATTGGGCTGCAAATATTTCAGGAGCTTGTGGAATATAAACCAAGCTGTTTTAAGATGTTCTTGGTGCCCATACCGGTCCCACACACTACTCTGTGTGGGGTCCTCATATTTTGGCCAGTGGGTGCACTATTAAGAATACAGAAAAATGAGTGGATCTTGGTGGTCACACACGTCAATGCCCCAAGCATCATGCAGTCAGCCTGTGCCCTCTGTGTTCCTACCAGGCCTCTCAGGACACAGAAGAGTGCAGCAGGAAGGCAGTAGAGAACGAAGAGCAGGTCTAGGGGCCTCTGCACCAGGCCCTTCCTCTGGGCTTCCTCAATACTCTGAACACAAAATAAACGCCATATCACAATCCATCCATCTTCTAACCACTTTACCCAACACAGGGTCATGAGGGAGCCAGAGCCTATCCCAGCAAGCAATGGGCTCAAGATATGGTACACCATGGTCAGTATGACAGTCCTTCATGGGGCAGACAGATACAATCACAGACACACTCATACCAGCGCCACTTTTTTCAGGAGCCAATTTGCCTACTAGAGTGTCTTTGAACTGTGGGAGAAAATGAGAGCTCCTGGAGGAAACCTGCACTAACACAGGGAGAACATACAAACTCCACACAGACAGCACTCCAGGTCCAGAACTGAACCCAGAGCTCCAGCGCTGCGAGGCAGCAGTGCTAACCACTGCACCACTGTGTAACTTTTCCACAATGATATTTGACAAAACAATCCTGTGATGTCTATCCACCTTTTATTCATCATAAACTTATTAACTTTTGTTATAATAAAAAAGGCAGCTATTCAGGAGGTCTCCCCTAATGGATTTCCAAGTCGGCATTATTTCACCAGAGTTTTAATCACGTAGATATACATCTAGAACAATTCATGGGGAACTCTTCCCAGACCCCGTGTTTCATAAAAGTAACTTAAAGGTTCACTTCATGTTAAATGTAAAATACAGCCCCACAAAATAAAATAACCCAGATTTATCACAGAATTATCACATTTGAATCCTACTCAAGGGAGGACTGCATTGCTTTGAAAAACCACATAACTTGCAGTACCTGAACAACGATTTTTTTTGTACTTTTTCACAAGCATTCTTTATCTGCCTACCTTCCAAACATTTAGCTGATTTCAGCACATCTAGGTAAAAGTTAGTTGTTTAAATTAGATACATTAAAAACCTGAAGTGTCAATGAAATCAGGGGATTTCTATGCAAGTGCTGGTCAAGCTGTGATCTTTATATACACAGTGTACTTCAGCACACTGGGCTTCTAGGTTTATTTTTTAGTTATTTTACCAGAGGCGGAGCTTGTCTTATGCAGGGCTGACTGAAGATCCGGAAGCAAGCCCACACCGACACCAGGACATATGGAGCAGTGACGAAGAAGGACGGACTCAGCTGAGTCCCATACTTCCCTAAAAAGAAAATTACAGAAAATTACACCTCTTTCCCCGCAAGCATCATGAGTGCACAGAGAGCAGACACCACTGGACTAAAGGCAAAGCTAAAGTCCCTCATTAAGGACTTGCTCTTGGTCTAGGCCCGAAGAAAGACAAGATAGGGTTCAGAACACAGGTAAAAACACTGAGACAGAAGAAGCTACATAGAAAAATGACCTAAGCATTTATGCTGACACATCATTTACATCTTCTAAATAACATGGGGAAGTTAAAAATAGACTTTAAATCTAGGAATGGTATGTTACAATTGTTTAACACACATATATGGTCTCATTAAGAATACCATGTACAATACTGGTTACCAATTTATAGAAAAGATGTCGTTGCTCTGGAATCTGTCCAGAGAGGAATGACTAGATACATTCTGACAGGTTGAAGGAAATGAACCTTTTTAGTCCTGAACAAAAGACTATAAGTTTTCAAAACCTCTAGGGATCTGACCGATTTCTTCAGAATGGACAGTGAGGCATGAACCAGAAGGGACATGTAGAAACTACATGAAACTGCTCTTAAAACGGTGAAAGGGGGGGGGGGGACATCTTTACACAAAGGGTTGTAGGAGTATGGAACAAGCTATCCAGTCATGAAAGCTGACATCCTGGCTTCTTTCAAAAAAGGGCAGAATGAGGCCCTGGAATCAATTAACCTCTAAGTACCAAACAGGGCAGGGGGGGCGAATGGCCTCCTCTCATTTGTAATCTCTCGTGTTCTTATAGACCGTTAAATCTTTTTAAGAACTTGATGCTTCAATTAAGTAAAATACAGAAAAGAAAAAAAAACTCCAGTCTCAGGCTTCACAGCATTCTGTCCAGCCAGGCAACTGAAACTATTTGGCTGCAGAGTCTCGTAATAATGACATCATCACTGTTTCACTCAGCGAAGAGTCAGCGGCTAGAAACTGTAACTGCTTTGCCCAGTAACATTATTCTTTGATGTGTGAGACAGTTAACAGTGTTCAGAAACATAAACTAAACACTTTCCTGAGACATGAAGGGTTTAGAAGCACAAATTTGTCTTACCAACAATGTTTCCGGGAATGTAGACTATGAGACGCATTAGGAAAGACCCCACCCAGTACAGGCCAATTGCTCTGTAACTCTCCCTACCAGGGAAAAAAAAAGTTCTGTTCAGACTGACAGAAGCCTTTGCAAATCACAGTCTTGCAAGTTCAATAACGCATATCTATATTAGGAGAAGAATTCAGACATTCAGAAAACATCTGTAAAAAAGCAATTTTACAGATGAAACATCAGTTTTGCATTTGTCCAAACAGCTTGTGGTTGAATGGGTTTCACATTCTGGAGATTATTTGGCACAGACTGGATTTCCAGTGGAAAAAGTGAAACGTCTGTTCATGATGGTATCTCATTGTTAGGAACATACTAAGAATTGCAGGGTAACATGCAGTTCAGCAGCCTAATTAGGCAAAATAGGTATAAGTGATAAAACATGTTTTAATTATCCTTTCATTATAGTACATTAGCATATATGAACAATTAAATTAAAGTCTAGGTTGGATGGATTTGTCAATTGCATGGATTGTACTTGCTCATTAATATATTTAAAGGAGTAATGACAGCACCTCATTACTTCATTCTTACCCCCAGGTTATTGCTGCTACCATGAGCAAATACATGAGATAGTGCACACAGCCATCCCAGTAACAGATCATGTGTCCGTGAGCTGTGTTCATGTAGGGCTCTCCCTGGAAAACACCAGCACAGCCATGAAGATCAGTGGAGAGAAAACAGAGGGTCCTGCAACGAATGAAGGCTCAAACTGATATGGAGTACCACAGGGGTCTGTAATAGGACCTTATTCTCTTCTTCTTCTCTTCCTAACTCATAACATTTATCTAGAATCTGGTCTGACTAGATTAAATCAGATTAGAAAAAAACTGCAAAGAAGATTCAAAAGAGATTGAGGCAAAATTCAAAATGGGTTAACACAGAGCTGGTTTCATCCAATTTAGGCAAGATCAGAGTTTTATAGAGATATAATGTACAAATGGAAGAAACTCTGGGCATGCAGAATTTCTTAAGAGTTTGGTATTTTAGGTTGATATTTTCCATCTTCTAGCCAGTGTGGGAAATCAATAAAAATGCAAACAGAATTGTAGGATGTATACTTAAAAGGTTAGAGTTTAAATAAAGGGATGTTATAATATTGTACAGTACATTGCAGTATTGGAAGGCCTTGTTTTGAATACTCTATACAGTTGTGGGCACCACGTTATATATTATTAATCACATTATTCTCAAGCTGAATGGAATGTCCTACACTGACAGGGTAAAGAGCTGAACTTTTATAGTCTTGAATAAAGAAGACTACTAAGGGACCTAATCCAAGAGTTTAGAATCTTCAAGGCACTGACAAAGTCAACCCAGTGGACAGAATTTAGATCAACAGTGAAAAACAAACTAGAGGATACAAGATCAAACTATTTGGAAGTGTGTTTTAAACTGTGAACAGGATGAACTTCGTTACACAAAGGGTTGTGGGTGTATGGAACAAGTTAGCCAGCCATGATGTTGATGGTGATACCCTGACATCATTCAAGAGACAGCTTATTACAAACTACAGCCAAGGAGAATGCTGCTCTCTGGCCAGTTTGCAATGGACATATGATGTCATCCTAGCACCTATTCTTTATCACACTACTCTTCTGAGTTATTTTATTTTATCAGAGCAAAGCTATTTACCCTGATAAACTAACAAGGTTTCATTGAATGACTTTCAGCCTTACTGCTTAAGTAAATCTCAGCATGGTCAAAGTATTTTATTGAAATGCACTTTGTAATTGTATTTTATTTGATTCTGTGCATTGTTAGAAGGGAAATATATTAAAAAGCTCACATATCTGGTGGTTCTTCAAAGGTAACAAATAATTTACTTTGTCAAGGGTTAATATTACTCCACATATGTACACATGACTTACTGACATTTCTCAAATTGACTTTAAAAACCACTTCCCTGTTGAGACACTTGTCAACAGGAAACCCCAGCTGAAATTATGAAGAAATTCCTTAGACTCCTGCTGGAAAATAAAAAGTTACACTAGATATATGCTGAGTTCCCTTTTTAACATGTCAATGGCATGTTTCTGGTTCTTGCAGGGCACTGTCAATAAGACTGGGATGTTCTTAAGTAAAACCAGACATTTACTTCACTTACCTCTTTCAAATAAAAGGTCATGAAACCGTCTATGATGCCATCTTGTTCAAGTCCTATAATGAGGTTCACAACACTCAAGAAGGCAAATATGGCATAGACTGGAGAGAAAAAATCAAAATGAAGACACCACTTAATGTGGACACGAATCACAACTTTGAACTGCTGCCCCTTATTCCCTGGACATCTCCCACATAAGGCACTGAATTCTGGAAACTGCTTCTCATGCGACGTGACGTGAAACCATTTCATTTTGACCTCTGCTGTTTCACAACAAGAAAACACTTATGCAGTTAATTACCAATATCTGCTGTTCCAATCAAAACAACCGCTGTACTGTATGTTAGCAGTTATTTTAATTGATTTACATGGAATTTCTGACAGACATCATTGCACTGATCTCCCCTGAGCTATTTCCTCTGGATTTGTGTAGCTATGGGTTTTATCCCTGTCTGAATCTTCACTAGAAGCTTGTATAACTGAACTGTGTCCCACTCATGTTTTCACAAGCAACATGTTTTCTCGGGCTGAGCCTGTTTTAGCACTGACTGAACAATGCTGCTGGGGGCAGGCAGCTGTCGAGCGCCACAGAGATTGGGGGCTGGCCTTTTTAGGACAAAAGCAAAATTGAAAGGGAATGGATAGGGCTCCAAACTTGCAACTAAAATGTTGTGCATTAAAATCCCAGGTGAGGCACAGCACTCAGAATGCTCCAGTGAATGTCTTGCTGTATAAATGGGTATTCTTCAGGTCATCACTGCAAAAGTGAATTTGATCTTAACTGGTTTATCTGAACTATATAACAAAAAACGTTTTATTAGTATGAGTGTAAATGTACAGTATGATGAATTGGGCCGTTAGAAATGGTACACCTGCTTTTCAATGAAAGCCAGTCAGCTCTGAGTGTTGACTATTGCAGACAAGCTGAACTGAGTGAAAATGATGAAAGCAGTCACCCAAGAAAAGACAGAGGTATCCAAAGTAACTTCAGATTAGAAAGGAGGTCGACGTTCAAAAGAATTCTGGCACAGATGCTCACTGTGACAGACAAACATGGCAAAGCGAGGTTCGCGTTTCTTCCCTCTATGCATGAAGGCAATTTAAAAGGTCTCAACACTTCCATGTAAAGAAAGACTGTAGTCATGAATGGTTAAAATTCCCCATGCTGATATAGAATCACTGCAGTTACTGTTGTTCATTTGTACGCGGTGTTCTATCATTTGTATCAAATATTTGCACACTTAATTCAGGGCAGCAGTACGGTCAAGCACTTGACCGAAAAAAAACATTATACAACATTACAGATGGGAGATCTTTTTCTTACCATAGAAAAGAGGGTCCTTCGGCGGACTTCGCTTAAGCAACACTCGTGCCAGTATGGCTATGATGAGCAAAACTAAAGCTCCGGCGACCAGAACCGCTCCAGTACTGGGAAAAGACAGTGTATTGAGCACACGCATAAAATATTTCTCCTCAGTAGTTCACAACCTCTTAAAAATTAGATTAATTATAAAAGTTGGTGCCGAACATAAAACACGAGAGTGGTCAGGCGGTTAGGTTCACAATTTACATGTATTCTAGTGGCCGACTGTTTGAGAGATGATCTTAACCTGCAAAGCAAATGTACATTAGCTAAATTTTATTTTGAATGATACCAAGTTGCTTCCTTTTTTACTTCATTCGGCAATCATTCGAAATATATAAATCAACAGCTTTAGAAAAGCATACACAATAGGCGGGCCAACATACAGTAGACTCACCTGTTCGTATAAAACAGAAAGTTAAAAATGTATGTGATGGGTATTGACAGAAAAGACAGCACAAAAACTCCAGTTCCAGCTGAAGCACTCATTGCAGAAAAACTTCCGTATTGTCGCTACGGTCAACGTTCTAAAAATGCATTTTTGCTAAGAAAAAAAGTGGAAAAACAGGAGTCGTTTTTGAAATACGCTGGTCCCTCACGGAGCAAACCAAGGCGCAGTTTCGCCAAGCACGGATTACCAATCAGGGAATGCGCGCACTGGTCCAGGATCTCCCGGGAGAGAGCTGGCGCCCGTGCGCTCAGGAGAGGGGACTGCGGGCTCCGGCGCGACCCTCTGGGCACGGTTGGAAAATGACGCACGAAGTACTCGCTCAGACACAAGGCGATGGCTTGACTGCAGTTCCAAATTTGCTCTTCCAGGTCGAAAATGCAAAAAATAGGACACGCTGATGTCTCCACAGCTCTTTAAACATTTTTATCAACCAATGGTTTCAGAAGGCTGCGGTGCAGTGTAGAAACCAGCGAGGCGGAGCTGTGCAAGCACGCACGCATGCCCGTACACACTTCTGTCTTCAACAGTAGGGTCATTTCCAAACCTCTCTTCTTCAGGACAATCTTTGCTCCTCACTCTTCGAATCCAGGGGTAAATAGTAAAAGTAAAAAAAAAACAAGTCTATATAAAGTATATATATATTACGTAATCTAAACGCATTTTAATGTATTAGATTTTTAGATTTAGAAGTTAGAAAAGGCGGGAGAATATTAAGCAGCAAAAACTCGTTCACTCCCGATGTTGCATAATCGTACTTCACTATAACTGCAATGGTTTAATTTAGCTACATGCCAAAAAAAATGCCAAAAAGGTTATAACTTTTATTTCTGTAGCAAAACTGATGAGAAACCTTTTTTGCAATAGCAGCCGTGATACCTAAAATATCCCAGTCCGTTATGTTTAAACACCTAATTATGTGGCCACGAGGAATCTAATGACTTTTTAGGTGTAACGAGTGAAACTGAAACGAGTTTGTTCTGACATCATGCACATTTAAGGAACTTTCAAGGACAAGCAGCCCTCTGCTGGCCACAGGCAGTATTGTACACCTAACGCGCTCATTCCCGAATTCTGCATTTTCAATCCGACACAAACAAGGAGCAAACAAAATGTTTATATCAGCTCTAAATCGGGGCAAAAACTGAATAAACAGTCGAAAGCAGGTACTTTGATTTCTTGATTGACAACGTATAGCTAAACAAATACGTTAAGGAAAAACCTTTTTTTTATTTAGAACGTACTTTCAAAATCATACACCATAACCTAACACAAACATACCTGTTACCAAGTTACAACAGCAAATAGTAAGGTGACTCATAGTTATAAATAGGAAACTCTTTGAAGATGTCCAATGTCCAATATATCAAACAAGTATTTCGTCCTCAGCAAAGAAGAAAATGATACCAAGACAGAGGCTGTGCAAAGACAGTGTCGAATTAAATATTAATCTAGGAGAAGACGACCTGTTCCAGCTACAAGGAACACTTAAGATAAACACAACTTCAGGTTACGCTACTAATTGTAATTAAGGAATCAAGGGAACAAGAGTTGTTATTCATAGTCTGTTAACAAAAGTCTTAAAACGTCAAATATCCACTTATTGCAAACATTGTGAATGCAGCACTCATTCATTAAACGGGTGACACGTAATTATCTACTATGGTGTGGGTTATGAAAATAATTTAAAAAGAGCTTCGTCTGCATGGTAATAGGTCTAATAGTCAATATGGACTTAGAAATGTTTAGGGTTCTTTGAACAAACAAGAAACAGTATATTTCATTTTCTAAACCGGTTTTTGATCAATTTAATCATAAAACATTAATTCAAACTAGTTGTGTTAATAGATTATACCAACATAGGGGGAAAGAAAAAATGTAAAGGAAAGATTTTTCCCAAGATGTAAACAATTAAAAACTGGGCAAACACCTGGCAGCTGACATTTATGATAGTATTAAACGGAGGAAACAAATAATAATAATAATAATAATAATAATAATAATAATTGCTTACACTTATATAGCTTTTTTTTGGACACTCCACTCAAAGCGCTTTACAGGTAAATGGGACTCCCCTCCACCACCACCAATGTGCAGCTCCACCTGGATGATGCGACGGCAGCCATAGTGCGCCAGAACGCTCACCACACACCAGCTATCAGTGGGGAGGAGAGCAGAGATTACTGGGAGGCCATGATTGGTAAGGGCCAATGGCAAATTTGGCCAGGACGCCGGGGTTACACCCCTTCTCTTTTAGAGAAGCGCCCTGGGATTTTTAATGACCACAGAGAGTCAGGACCTCGGTTTTACGTCTCATCCGAAGTACGGCGCCTGTTTACAGTATAGTGTCCCCGTCACTATACTGGGAAATTAAGACCCACATGGACCGCAGGGTGAGCGCCCCCTGCTGGCCCCACTAACACCTCTTCCAAATACATAAACTATAGCTATAAAATGGGAAACAGCTTTAAGAAATTATTAAGGACAATGGTTCAGGTGATTATGCAGACACATTATTTTACACAATATGATGAAAAGGGGGAACACAATGTTTGGATGTTATAGTGCAGTATTTATATCAGGGGATACCATGTGAACATTGTACAATGCACTAGTAAGATCTCATTTAAAAGCATTTTTTTACAATTTGGTCATGATTTTATCTGAAATCAGCGAACAGACACAGTCTTAAAGGAATGTCTACTCCGACAGGTTAAAATAATTTAAACTGTTCTATTAAAAACATGAGCGAGCATGGAAGGTATCGAATAAAACCATGTTCTTTATTTACAGAAGCAAACTGGTCATAGTATGAGTTAAAGCTTTATGACTTGTGTATTATTACAATTCTAATCATCTTTACTTCATTTTGTGTCATTACATATTACACAATTTAAAGACAATAAACATTGCACAACAGCACATTTTTTTAACCAGCACTTAAACAGTTGGCTCAGGTTCTGCAGTTAAAATGCACATCTCATAAGTAAATCTTTATATTCCTTTAAAAATGCGTCTCTGTTCATTTGTTATATTATAGATAGCTATATGCGTGTGTGTTACATGTGCGTCGTCCCGCACGGCATAAATAGAAACTGAAGCTCAAGGACACCATAATAAACTCAAGCGCAGTCTAGACACCGGAAGTGTGCGGAGGGTGACGTCATTAGTGCGAGCAGTAAACAGAAGCTGGACAGGGAAGGCTGGTCTCGTGCTGAAACATGGTCTTGGGCTTGCTGCCCTTTACAGCAGCGACCAGGTTCACACACCTCTCGGCCGCCGACCCGTACACGACGCAAAAATAAACAAATTGGAAAACCGTTTCCGACCATGGCGACGGGAGGTGGGACGATGCCCAACCTTGAAGGGCAAGCCTCGAACTTCGCCCACTCCGGAGCTGGGAGGAGCGGAGCGGCCGCGTCCGCAGTAGTGGCGGGTCCGGACCCCTCCTCGGCCCTGGGCCTGCACCGGGAGCCCATGTACAACTGGCAGGCGACCAAGAGCAGCGTGAAGGAGCGCTTTGCCTTTCTCTTCAACAACGAGTTGCTTAGCGACGTGAAGTTCGTGGTGGGCAAGGGCAGGCAAGCTCAGAGGATCCCGGCTCACAAATTCGTGCTGGCGGCTGGCAGTGCCGTCTTTGACGCCATGTTTAACGGGGGCATGGCGACTACCTCTGCAGAGATTGAGCTGCCTGATGTGGAGCCGGCGGCATTCTTAGCCTTGCTCAGGTAGGAGTGAATCCTGAAATTGCCTGGGTGGTTCTACTTTTCTGTCCATCATGAAATGGGTGTGTGTTGATCGTTGTTTATGTTAGAGAACACAATGAAGTCAGAAACTGTAGAACGGTTGGCCGTGTTTTTTTAGTACAGTGATTCTTTCTGCGTTGTCGTGGCATCCTTACCCCCTCTTATGCAAAATATTCTGCAGCAGCCACGAAGAATCATTATAGTTTAATATGTGTAAACGGTAGAAATAACTTTGGAAAACCACTAGCTCACGCTTCTCCTGTTTTGAATTCTTACCAAATATTACGACTACTTTCAGGTTAGGAACGAATACTCTGTATGAGCATCAACTCTCAAGAACTAAGAACAGAAGTGCCTGTAAAATCCTATTAGAAGTTTATTGGTGTTGGCAGCCATACTTTGAGCATATTAGGTCTTAATTGCCCAGGTTTTCATATGTATGTCCATCAGAAGCTGAACGGGAGCCTTTGTATGAAATATTTTATTTACTGATGAGCTATAGATACATTTTTTTAGTGCTGCTGTAAAAGTGGTACTGTAGGTTTCTAAACACACACAGATACAATGCTGTCTATTTGTTTGTGTTGTGGCACATGGTTCTTACAGACTGGAGATACCAGAGGAACAAGTCAGCATGCACCTTACGTTGGGTTTATCATTGAAGATCCAGCCACGGACACCATAGTGGTGTTTCGTTATGCTTTGCATTGACCTCGTATTGCCTAGTAATAGTGGCTGCAAGATGTGTGTGTGTGTGCGCACTGTGATCAAAGTAGTCTTTCAGCGCTCAGTTCTCATCTTGCCCTGCTGCTGTGAGGTGGATGAGTCTGCTCTCCTCAAGCAGAGTTAACCTGCTGATGGGCATTTAGAATGAATTTATTCATGGGGAGAAATGCACGCTTCTAGAATGAACTGACTTGTAACGTGTTGAGCGTAGTGGGCCATGCTAACCTGTCATGTACTTGCCTCGAGGTTTCTGTATTCAGATGAAGTTCACATAGGTCCAGAGACCGTCATGACCACTCTGTACACTGCCAAAAAATATGCAGTTCCCGCACTGGAGGCGCACTGTGTAGAATTTCTTACCAAACATCTCCGAGCTGACAATGCCTTTATGCTCCTTACCCAGGTAAACAACTGGAACATGAAAGTCTTGAAAGAAATGCCTTTGTTAAAGAACACATGACTTCTTTTTTAATAAAAATAAAACCTTCACCATGCACAGAAAATGTTAATGCATTTTTAAAATAATATTTTAGGTGTAATAATGCATCGAGATTATAATGGCTTCTATGTAGTGCGTAAAAATGTATAAATGCTAATAAAGAGAGAAGTTAACTTGATGTCATTTGTTTCTAGGCTCGATTGTTTGATGAGCCTCAGCTTGCCAGCCTGTGCTTAGATACAATAGATAAAAGCACTGCTGATGCAATAAGTGCAGAGGGCTTCACAGACATTGATTTAGGTAAGAAAACCTTTTGTCTCTGTTTTAACTTACTGTGTTTTCCACAGTGAATGTAGACCAGGAAATGTAATGCAGGTATCCATTAAGTCCAAGCATGCTGATCTAAAGAACAACTACTCGAACCTAGATCTGTGGCTTCACATAAATCCAGATTTCCAAGCTGACCTTTGTGGTGATCTTGACTATTAATGTTGCATTCTCTGTTTAGATACACTCTGTGCTGTTCTGGAGAGAGACACTCTGGGTATTCGAGAGAGCAGGCTTTTTGCAGCAGTTGTACGCTGGGCTGAAGCAGAGTGCTACAGGCAGCAGCTTCCACTTACTTCTGAAAACAAACAGAAAGTTCTGGGAAAAGCTCTCTCGCTTATTCGCTTCCCTCTGATGACTGTGGAAGAATTTGCTGCAGGTAAACACCTTGTTAGGGAAGAGCAGTTGAGCCCGTCTTGTTACAAATTTCCAATTACCCTATAGTGTGTGTACAAATGATTTTCTGTACATTTCTAATACAAGATAAAGATGCTGTCATAATTGAATAGAATGATCATATTTGTTTTATGCATCTCCTTTGGCTTTTTTGTCTCCCCAAACTGCTGATGAAATTGTAAGTTTTCTGCTAACTCTTTTTGTTTTGTGTCCAAAAGGAAGTGCTGTAGAAGCAAGTTTAATATTCTTTCTTGTGCCACAGGGCCTGCCCAGTCTGGAATTTTGTTCGATCGGGAGGTGGTAAATCTGTTTTTACACTTTACAGTAAACCCCAAACCCCGGGTTGACTACATTGACAGACCAAGGTGTTGTCTCAGGGGAAAGGAATGCAGCATAAATAGGTTCCAACAGGTAGAGAGTCGCTGGGGATATAGTGGTACCAGTGACAGAATAAGGTAAGCCTTTGTTGTAAAAATACATTTTCACTGTCTTTTAATAAAATTATTTTTCTTCTTGTTTTGAAAACTGAGTTACCAGTTACTAGTATATGATGAAATGTACTCAGCCAGTTGACTGTTGTGGCTCACAGTAGTGCCAGCTGAGGGAGCCATTTGGTTTTTTATACACTGTGGCAGGGTGAAAGAGGTTCAACGCAAGAGGTTTCCAAAGGGACCGTTCCTCTTGGGCTGGGATCTCTCAGTGGCACTGAGCCAGTCGTGCGCTGCCAGCTGCAGTATTTCCATCACTTCTCATAGTGACATGACCCAAACCCGAACCCGTAACATCTGGATCAAAGAGCTGAGCTCAAGTAGCTGCTTGGCCAATGGAATGGGCCTTTGCAAAGACACAAGTTCAAATAAAAGTGCTACACAAAGTGTCAGAGAAATGACTGGGGAGAAGTCTGTGGTAAAACAAAAGCTACTACAAGCTGACACATGCACATTTTCATTAGATGGATAGTTAAAATTGTGCTGCAATGTTTTTGTTATTCCCCTGAGTCTATCATTTCATATCTTTAAATATCTGAATTCAGGTTTCAGACTGCAGGCAAGGTGCTGTTGATATTCTAAAATGTACGAACACGGCATATCTTAGTGTACAGTGTGTATTAATCACATAACACCTGAAATGGCTCTATATGCTTATGATGGGCCACACCAGTTTGAAAGGGCATGGAGTCCTGAAGGGCTTTACACCTGTTCTTCATAAGTTCTCACAAAAGTAAAAAAAATACTGTTTTATTTTAATAATCTAGACAAGTAACTACGAACAGAGGTGGAATGAAAATCAAAGGATCCTGTGCTCCTGGAGGAATGGAGTTGCCATCTCATGTTTTAAAATGTTTTAAAAAGTTTGAAATATTACTTGATAGAGTTAAGGCCTTACCTTTTGTCCTGATGGACCCAGGAATTTTACATGGGGGTCTTAAGAAATGCCCATGATATTTAGTTTTATTACTGTGACATTTTTCCTCACCATAGTTTCTCCTTATTTTCTATTACAGGTTCAGTGTTAATAGAAGAATATCTGTAGTAGGTTTTGGGCTCTATGGATCTATACACGGTCCTACAGATTATCAAGTCAACATACAGGTACAGTTGCTTTTCCCAAGTGTGACATAATCAGAAATGTAAAATATTTGTTAAATTAATAATTTAATAAGATAATGATGTAGGTACTGTAAGTTGTGAGTGAATTCTTACATTTTAATCAAGTGTTGAATTAAATATTTTCAGAACAGATGTTATAATATTATAATCAAATTGTATTTTTTATAGATTATTGAAAGTGACAAAAGCCTGACACTTGGACAGAATGATACAGGATTTAGCTGCGACGGAACTGCTAATACTTTCAGGGTCATGTTTAAGGAACCCATAGAAATCATACCGAATGTCAGCTATACTGCCTGTGCAACTCTTAAGGTGTGTATCTGTCTGTTATTTACAAATAATTCTTAAAATACACTATTTTTATAAGGATGTTTTACTTCACCAAAGGTTTTGCAGTGAATGTTCTTATACTTCACAGAGCTGTGACTTGGTCAGTTACATCAAAATATATTGCAGAATTTCATATGTCACATTTCTGCTAAAAACATAAGTCAGTTCATATGAAACTCTTTCATATGGAGGTTTCTGAAAATAAAGACTGTTTTCTCTGTGTAGGGCCCAGATTCGCACTATGGCACAAAAGGACTGAAGAAAGTGGTTCACGAATCTACAACAGGGACCAAAACAACTTTTTTCTTCCTTAGCTCACCTGGGAATAACAACGGCACTTCAGTGGAAGATGGACAGATACCAGAAATAATTTTTTATACATAAAACATGGAATTGGATTATCTTTATCAATTTTACTTTTCAGTTGTACAGCAGCATGCGCCGTCGTCAGGGATTGCAGAGAAGACTTGAGCATGCAAAAAGGGAGTTGGAGACTCATGCACATGCTGGCCATTGTTTGTCTAGTTTTACCTGTTAGTACTGTACTGTAGAAAAGGTGCTACTGGTCATGTGGGCTGCTTTGAGAAACTGAGCCGAAGAAGACCCCAGGACTGTTAAAGGCTGGTTAAGTCTCAGATTGTCTGGACTTCGCTCAGGCCTGGGGTGTGCTGTGTCATGTTTTTTTTTTAGCAAAAAGTAAGCTACAGCATATGGTTTCATACTTTTCATACATTTTAAAATAGCTCATCTGCTAACTGTATGTTTGAAATGTGCTTCCTTCACTCTCATCAGGAACTTCTCAAGGAGCTGTATCTAGCATGTACATGACCACAGCAATTGCTGACATCAGCAGGCTAATATTGATAGCCACAGCCACCACAACTACACGCAGAAACCAAGAAAAAACAAATTCCCAGACTTCAGCGTTTTCATGTAAATGTCAAACATGGTCATAGTTGAAAACCATCCTAGGAGTGCATCAAGAATTTGTACAGTCTTGTCTTCTGTAAAATAAAATATGTACTAATGTCATTGACATGGAAGTCAATCCTGAAACATTTTGTGTTTACAGGGTAAATATTTTGGCTGATGTGTACTGTTTTCAAAATGGCAGCGGTGTGTCTCAGAAATATTAGAAACTGGCTGTTGTGTGGGGAATTTGCAACAACATGGTATTTAAGTACTGGCACTACATTATAAGAACTAGAAGTACATAGTGCTGTTGTGCAGTCAGTGCTTTCAGAATATTGTAGGATACTGTAGATTGTTAATGCCCACAGGGAAAATGTGGTTGTGAAATAAAAATAATATTAAAGCTGCTAGAAACTGGCCAGTCTTGCATTTGCAACATAGTGAATGCATTCTTACTTTATCAGTCACAAAACATTATGAACTTTTACTTTCTAATACAGAGCATTAGTTTAAAGCCAAGGTAAACAATACCAGATACCTGAGCTCTTTCCAGATGTGTGAAAACAAGGCTGTTTTTTCTGTATATTGGGAAGAGTACTAATTTTAGGATTAACAAGATGACTCTTCACTGGCCACTGTAATAATAGATCTATACTTTGAAGAAGTATATTCACAATTTTATTGTCTTAAGTATGGCAAGAAAATGATAGGGGACTGTCTGCTTCCTGCAGATGCACAGTGCTGTGGATTCCTTTTCTTGTGCTCAGTAGATTGCTCATGATGATTCTTGGTGTTCTTTGTACCTTTTGAGTAGCTGCACAGTATGAACATGATTGTATCTCACTGCTTCCTGAAGAGGTGTGTTTCCCCACCTGGAATTAAATTCAGGAATAGCTATTAATTTGAGACAGTGCGACGTGAATATAATGCAAATTAGCTAAAGCCTTACAAAACCATTTTTTTGTGGCTCCATATCTTATCTTGGGATAAGATATCTTGGGCCTCTTCCAAGTTTTTTTTCAGATAAACATTTCATATGACAAAATTGGGGATTCCTGCACATTCCCTTGCACAAAGCTCTTTAGGATCTTTTAACTTAGATTCAATTCATTCTAAATAAAGGGGTCTGCAGGGAGAGTAAAGTACAATTAAAAAATGTCTTAACATTTACAGCACAGGCCACCCCGCTGAGTAGCAATTCCACTGCTATTGTGGGATATATAAGTGTCTATAAAGTACTAGGCCAAATGCACTCTGCTTTTCCTCTTGAATATTAACCATTTCTGGCTGTACCTGTCCTGAGCAGCGAAGTCTGCCCCAGCGTTCTCGACAAGGAATTTTATCACCTCAGTGTGCCCCTCCGAGGCGGCGACGTGCAGAGCTGACCTTCCGTCGTAGTCAATGCAATTGATGTCTGTTCCTGACAGAAAGTACCTGTGGAATTTGCTTGAGATTTTATTGTAATTCCTCACCGTGGAAAGAAGAAAGACACAACCTCACAGAATATACGCTACACCAATGCTTCAGAAGCAAATTGGGCACAGTAGCAAAGCTAGATACTTGCATCTAGTTTTAAGTGAAATGGTGCAGTATTGGTGATTATACCGCTAGTGCAGAAGAGCTACAATTCACATGGATTCTGTGCATTCTTAGAATTTGACATTCAGTATCGAGGTTTGTTAATTGTCTTGTGATAATCACAACAGTTTCAGAATGAGGGAATGTACTGTATATCCTGTATACAATTAACATTGAATGTTATTCAACATTTGATTAACATGAGCTTGTTGGGCTTGGGACTCTTATTACCTCCTTAGTGACCGGACGTCTCCTCTGTAGGCAGCTAGCAATACATTCATTATCTGATACCCCTGTAACAGAGAACTGCGTTTTACAAAGCAGAAGTAACAAAACGGAATATATTCCATCAGGCTGATTGGGCATTGTATAGAATGTTCTGATTTTCAAATTGTGCATTGCCTTAAGTGCTTTCATTAGCAAAAGAAGAGAATAGAAAAATGGAAGGCTGGCTTGGATATTTTGAAGCATAATTTCGAAAAATTTACAAACCAGCTTTAACAGTATGTTTTCTTTCATTTCTTTCTGGATGTGTTTGGTAATTAAGATGCAGAAGAAAATAATGTGATTATTATAATATTTTGCTTTATTTGGGTCTTGGTTATGTCTTGGTTTGTGGCAGGCAGCAATTCTTGTCGTATACAAGTTTCAGTACTTGCCCATTCAAAGTTCAGAGCTTTTCAGATTAACTGCGAAACTGACCTTTGCCAAAGAGGTGGATGAGAAATTTCAACAGAAACACCAGAGACACCAGGCTTTTATTTGTGAATTTTAAATCTTGACTTGTGACCTACCTCAGACTCCGCTTTCCACTGTCTGTATGTGACCACCTGACGAAATGGAGTTCTTATATCAAAGCTGTGTAGCTGGAATGCTGACACCAGTTCCTAGGGGAGGTAATATGGTTTATTTTGTATCTGCATTTAACAAAGGAGATTGAGGAAAAGCCTAATGGGTATCAGATGGGTCCAACTCTCCTCGGTTGTGAAACAAGGACATGGGGTCAAAGTTGAAATCTAAAATGGATTTTGTTAAGAATGAAAAATAGGAAATGTTTCTTTACACATAGAGATTTGTGTAGGCCCTCACATTCCGGGCTCTTTCAAGATATGTCATTTAATATTCATGTAGTTACTAGAAATTGGGCAGCAGGGGTTAGGGTAGTGGACTCAATGAATCCCAGGTGAGACACTGTTGTAAACACGTGTAAAGTATTTCACCTGCATTGTTCCAGGACAATACTCGGCAGTGCGAATGGGTAGGATAAAGACATCAACCAGAATAAATTAGTAATAACCATGTAAACTACCACACAAAAACGATGGGTCAAATGGCCTCTTCTCAATTCCAGGTTTAATAATACATAATACATTTATGATAATTGTAATTCCCAGTAAGAATTTTGGTTCCCTTTTAATGTCTGATGTCCTCTTGATAAAAAACTATGTCCTAATGAGGATACACAATTATATGCTATAATGAAGATGGAAAGTTTTAAAGAAGAGTCTTTTTTTCTTGCATAACATTGCTGGGTTTGCAGTGTTCTGTATGCTCTTATTGCTTAGCTGGAACCCAAAAGGGAGTGGTATAAAAGAATGATTATAACTTGTATTGGTACCTGACAAAAGTGGACCGACTTCCATGAGTTGTCAAAGCTGTCCAGCTCTGGGGACAAGCACATTACTCCCATGACTCCTGGCACCACAACTAATAAGGTCCCTGATTTGCTGGACTTGGCTGGAACAGATGTCTGGAAAGCATGTTGAATCAAATATGATCGATTAAAAGTGCACAGTTAATCAGAGACTTTTTCTACAGACATGGTATCATTATCCTTTGTTTCCTACAGTGTGGAATATGATCAAATGCTGTGTTTAATAGAGAAACCTACTGTTTTCAATGGAGAGAGAATCAAAGCCTTCCACAATCTTAGGTGTTGAACAATAACTACAGGTAAGTTAATGAAAGCAAATTACTGCATCTTTCCATCAGGTGGAGTGGAATGTATTGATACTGTGTTGGGGAAAGCCAAAATCAAAATATATGTTCTGTTTGTACTCCAGAATACAAAATCACAGCACAATTCCATGTAAAAATATATATAATTGGTATATAGATAAATATATCGTAAATGGAAGTATTGATGTCTGATTTTCATACCTTAAAGTGGAATGTCCTTGAGTAGTTGTTCATTCCCGCCACCTGCATGATGGACAGCATGCTTCGGACAGAGGAGGGACTCAAGACCTGGTCACCAGACAAGGGGCAGAGCCCGCCATTGGCTAAGGTGGCGGCCATAGCTGCCCCGGACTCGCACGTGACTTCTGTAGATAAACACTATCAAGACAGTAAGAGTCATCACATATGTCATTGAAAATTGCTGCAACAGAAAACATCATATCAAAGCCCCTGAAAACATTAACAAAAATACAGATCAAAGATGTGTTTAATGTTCGAGATAAAAAAAATCATGTGGAGTTTTCAATATGAAGTGGGGCTCAGAATCATTCCTGATATGAAAATAATCTAAAATTGGTATCCTGTGCTATGTTAACAGTCCTGACAACAATGACATATAGACCTGATCACCCTCTGGATATACTGCTGTTTTCTTGACGCTCTGCTCTTTTTGCTCTTGTAGTCCTGTTAAGTCTGCCTTGCAGGGACTGATCACCCATTGGAGCGAAACTTTGTCACTGTACTTCCTAGTCTGGCAACACCAGCAGTAAGACTGTCCTCAAGCTGCACAAGATGTGTTTTTGGGGTAGAAGTGCTTCCTCCCTATATCTTCCTAGTTCCATTACCCCAGCGTTTTCTGGTCCTCAGAACAACATGATTTTGCATCTTAGTTATTTCCTCCTCCTGTAGCCAATTCTGTAGGTAGAAGTTAAGGCCCTGCATTGGTATGATGACCCTTTGCCTTCCAGGATGAGGCCAGTGCCTCACAAAGCTGGTTTCCAGCTTCCACTAGACACATCTACAGACCGTTGAAGCAAAACATCTCTTGGTAACATCTCGCATTGGCAGCTCACCTCCAATCACTTTGAATAACACCTTTCTTAATGGCTATTAATTAAGAGTTTTAATCCACTCTCTGGCAAAAGTAGCTCAAACCAAATACCCAACATTGGGCATCTGGTGTTTATAGAAAATCACATAACTTGAGCAGAGCAGTTTATCCCATGGAATAATATAATAAGCCATCAACAAACCTAACGCCTTGCTATTTAAAATATAAAAAGAATTGAGGATGCATCCAAAGAGGTGTTGATATAAAACTTTCATTGTGCAGCAGTTTAAAAATAAAACTTGACACAGGCCTACAAACAAGTCTGCAAACCTGCTTAATAGCTTATATCTGTACTTCTGATCTGATTTACCTGTAGCATCAGATCCAAAGTGGTGCCAATATCAACAGACTCTGGAAAACACTGTAGTGCAACACATGATTGATTTTAGTTGCAAATGAAAAGTTTCAGTCCAGATAACAGTCAACAATGTATTATTTATCTATTCAACATATCCCTATTATGCATAACACATTTCAGCACTGAGTCAGATTTATACACTACCAGTTGGAGGCTTCAGTGTAGCAGTGTATTACTTTAATTGGATATTTCTAGTGTGTTTTCATCTTTCCTTCAGTGGCCAGTAGCCATGTACATGTTGGTGGTCATTGCAGATTTGAATTACGCCAAAAACTTACTTTCTTTTCCTGGAGAAAGAAAGAGAGGGCATGAAGGTGGATGCTGTCTTTTCTCAGACTGTGATAACTGGAAAAAGAGAAGATTGTGGAAACTGTTTGTTCAATTAAACAGTTGATTAAAATTGCAGTTGTGATTTTACCTGGTGCAATTCAGACTGGCATTTTCTTTATTGCAGAGTCTTCTGATTAGATTCAGAACCTGTTTGGATGACAAAGGAGGTCTGTTGTGCAAAGCAGACATTGACATTTGTTTTCTCCTATGGCTCCATAGTCATCACAGAGCTGGTAACCCATGTATTTCCTCCCCCTTTTAAATATCCTATGAGTTGTGATAGACTCAATAATACAATTAGACTCAACAGCATACAATTTCTCTCAAAAGCATCCTGTTTTTCAGTGTTGGGAAATACCTAGATATAGTTCCTCTCAATACTAAAGTAGTCCTTCGAATATCTTCATTCATCTTTGAACATGAAATGAAATGCTTTTGCTGGTTTAGTACTCCAACAAGAATGCAAGCCTGGAAACAGATTTGCACTTCAATGTCTATGTGCAAAATACTTGTGTCCACAAAGGACAATAGCAGCGCTCATCTTCCTGGTTCAACCCACAAAGGTCAAAGTTATTTTAATTCTTAAAAAAAGATGTTGAATTTTTTGGTATCTGATGAAACCAGGCCCAATTGTTACCAAAAACACTTATGTTCTTATACTTTTTTTTGAAAATACCATCTGTTCCTCACTACAAAAAAAGCTGGCATTATTGCTGTTGTTAAAAATGACTTACAGATTCATACTTCTCCTCTTCTTCTGCACCAAGTCCTGCTGCTAACTGTTAAGGAAACAGGAGAAGGACTGATTGGAGCTTCACTGCCTCAGATTCTTAATCATGTTTCCAACTTAAAAGTTGGTGTGTTTCAGAAAAGAGCACTCTAAAAATAAAATAGATATTTCAAACCTGCAATAAGGACGTAGCAACAATGGCTCCTGTCTCAACAAGTGGACTGTGGGGAATTCCTAAAACAAAACAGAAACCGGACTGAATGTAAACAGTGAGATTTGTGTTTATTTGTGTCCTACTTTTGGTTTAAAACTCAAACAGATGGCAAAAATACTACAACTCACGCAACCCTGGTTAGATAACCGAGAAGTCATTTCTGTATTTTGGTTCACCCTGCTGCTTTTAGGTATTGGAGGTAAAACAAAAGCACATAAAGAAATCACGTGTTGCTTGTCTTGAGGTGCACATGCACACGCTGGAGTGCTGGGTCTGAAAATTACTGTGTTTCTGGCTCACAGTTTCTGTACCTTCTTTGGTGAGCGTGAAAGGTGATTCGTATTTTGAAAACTCCTCCATTCCCACAAATCTGTGTACGTAGTCAGCGCTGAGCTGGTCCACGGTAATGCCATATATCAATGGCCAGGATGCCTCTCCAAGCACGCAGGGCTCCACACAGTCCCCCAGAGACAGCCTGCAGGGTTCCAGAATCACACAGAGAGCACTTACCAAGCCACATTCCTATCAACATCCTATCGTTGGTCTAACCCTAAACATGGGGGTGGTTTGTGTCACCCACAGCAACCACAACAATGTGCATGTTCCTTTATTTGTTTTTAGGGTTTTAAGTACCCGAGAACTCTTAGTGTTTC